TTTTTGTCGGTCATGGGGCTTGAACTCTGGGCCTGGGTGCTGTCCCTCAGCTCTTCAGCTCAAGGCGAGCGCTCTACCATTTGAGCTACAGTGCCATTTCCAGTTTTCTGGTGGTTTATTGCAGATAAGAGTTTTACGGACTTTCCTGCTTGGGCTGGCTTTGAACCGTGATCCTCAGATCTCAGCTTCCTGAGTAGCTAGGATGACAGGTGTGAGACACCGTACTCTGCTCAAAAATCAAATTTCTTAGAAGAAATGAGTTGTCAGCAAAGCAGGGCTGGGAAAATGTCATCCCTTGGCCAGGCTTGGGGAGCCACAGGGACAGGGGCGGCTCCCACACTAGCTGCACCTTCTGTGGCATGTCCAGGCAGACCCAACTCTGGAGGGGGTTGTGTCTCCTGAGCCCCGGCAGGTCACCTGGAAGGAAGCTGCGCTGAGGGAGAGCCACAACCTGATCACAGAACGGACCCCCAGCCTTAGCTGCCTGCCCTGCCCTCCTGACCTTCCCCACTTCCCCAACCCTGGCAGGCTGCAGGTCTGGGGAGACTGAAGCCCAACATTCTGGTGGTGGGGTTCAAGAAGAACTGGCAGTCGGTTCACCCAGCCACGGTGGAGGACTACATTGACATCATACAGTGAGTGGGGCAGAGACGGCAGGGCCAGAATCTGTTGATGTGGCCCATGGGGCTTCCTAGAACTGGGGAGGGGGGAGGAGCAGCGGGGACCATGAGAAGTTGACTTCCATTTGCTCAAGGCTGAACAGGAAGCAGGTTGTGTGTGTGTGTGTGTGTGTGTGTGTGTGTGTGTGTTGTGTGTGTGTATGTGTATGTGTGTGTGTGTCCCATTCTGACCTATGGGGCCATGGACAACAAACAAGTTCAGCAGGGAGCTGGCAGGGATAAGAGTGAAGTGGACCAGGTGTAGGACAATAAGGAGCAGTGTGGCATCTGGAAAAGCCAGCGCCACTGGCTTTAGCTAATTGCATCCTGAAGCAATGTGGGTCATGTCTTGCCAGAGATTTAGATTTTCCAGAGTAGCTTAAAATCTAGGTGTTTTTGCAAAAGCCTTGTGTCCACCTGTGGCCCCTCAGAAGGCCCAGGCCCAGCTCAGACCTCTGAGTTTGGTTCATGTTCCACGGATGAAGCCAGGCCCCAGGACTGAGCTCCCTGTGGGTTTCAGAACAGACTCCCATCCCTGTTTTCCTCCAGCTCTGTGCGAGGCACAGTCCACAGGCAGCTGGCCTGGGCTGCTTTCTTGCCTCCATGCTGCATGGAAAATTGACACTGTTAAGAACTACCAGGCCAAGGGCTGAGGCCCTGGGACCTGCTTCCAGGTCTGCTGTTTACCAGCATGATTCCAAGGTGGTAGAATCTGGCTCCAGGCTTCCCCAGCTCCTCCATACCTAGGCAGTCCCTAGATGCTTAGCCAGATGAGTCTGACATAATCCATGACTCAGGGCACTGGGTCAGGAAGACAGGAAGTGCGCCTTAAGGGGTCAGAAGCTTTCTAGATGCCCCGTAGCCATTCCTGAATGTGTGTCTGTAGTCCTAGCCGCAAGCTGGCTGCTTGGTGCCTTGTGTGGTGGTTACAAGTGCTTCCCCAGGACTCAGTTGGTATATGGGGCAAGGGGTGGAGGGGATGTGAGATTCCCCAAGTGTATCAGGTGGTTAGGGTATAATTTAGTTTTTCCCCAAGGGATCCTGGGTGACTCTCCCGTTTGGTCTGTGTATTACACAAATGGGGAAACTAAGGCCCTGGTAAGAGAAGGAGTATGGCGGGAGGCATTATGGTCTCTGGGGATCAGGTCACTTCCCAAATGGGAGGCTGAGATCAGCATCCTCATTTCAGCGATGCCTTCGACCTCAACTATGGTGTGTGTGTCCTGAGGATGCGAGACGGCCTCAATATCTCTGAGGTGCTGCAGCCCCACGGTGAGTACGGGCCGTGCCGCCCAGCCCCGCCAACATCTAGAGCAGAGCTGGTGCCCTGGTGGCTCATGCCTGCAATCCTGCCTACTCAGAGGCAGGAAAGTCAGTGAGACTCTTTATCTCTAATTATCCAGAAGTGGAGCTGCGGCTCAAAGTGGTAGAGCCCTAATCTTGAGCAGCAACACTCAAGGACAATACCTAGGCCTTGAGTTCAAACCCCACAACCGACAAGATAAACAACAACTTTCCAGCATCCTGGAAAGTTCTGGAGCCCAAGGTTCTCAAGTAAACCAGGAAAGAGAGGGAAACATTAGTAAGGAATAAAAGGTATCAGAGTCTAGAAAGTCAGCCCTTCGTGGTCCTTCAAGTTTCCAAGCAGAGAGGTGAAGTCCAGACAGGGCAGGGACCCATGCCAGGTCCTGTGTGAGGCCAGGAGCAGGAGGAAGATTGGAACTCAGAGCTCCCTGAATCACCGTCAATGCTTTTGTAATCAGGTGGGATGAAGAGAATCTACTAGAGAGAAGGAAGGGGAAAGAGTAGAGGAGTAAAGACATTGCTCATGTAAAGACATTGGAAATGAAAATATTCACCCAAAGGTCATGGAAACTGGATGTTTTGGGTTCCATAGCTACCTTTGGGGATAGAATTGGGATGTTTTACATATGTGTGCATGAGGCTGGGCATAGTGATGCCCGTCTGTGATCCCAGTTACTCAGGAGGCAGAGATCGGGAGGATTGATGTTTGAGGCCAGCTTAGATAAAAAGAGGATGGAGGTTTGAGGCCAGTTTAGGTAATAGTTACCTAGACATCATATTAACAAGTATGCAGGCATAATGGGCCATTCCTGTAGTCACAGCTACTTGGAAAGTGTACTTAGGAGAATCGCAGGCCAAGGCTGTCCCCAGGCAAAAAGCAAAAGTCTCTCTGAAAAATAACTAAAGTTAAAAGGGGTGGAGGGGGTCTATCTGAAGTGGTAGAGCATCTGCCTCCATAGCACAAACCTCAAATCCCAGTACTGCCAAAAAAGAAAAAAAAAAGCCATGCATAACAGTGTAGACTCTTAATTGGTACTATTTAGAAGTGTGAAAGAAATAAAATAGTGGGGAGAGGGTGTCTCACACCTATAATCCTACCTACTCAGGAGGCTGAGATTTGAGGATCATGGTTCAAAGCCAGCCCAGGCAGGAAAGTCCTTGAGACTCTTATCTCCAATAAACCACTAGAAAACCAGAAGTGGCTCAAAGGGTAGAGCGCTTGCCTTGCTCTGAAGAGTTCAGGGACAGCACCCAGGCCCAGAGTTCAAGGCCCACAACCAACCAAAAAAGAAATAAAAATAAAATACACAAAGACAAACGAGTGGCTGGAAGGACCCTGGCAGGTGGGATCTGCAGACTGACTGTCACCGGGCTGAGGCTTGCCCAGCCCACAGCAGCTGGGCAGTAGAAATCTGTACCCACCACTCTGGGCACGGGGCTATACCAAGGACCAAACAAAGCATTCATTCGTTCCTGGTGTGGATGCTGCAGAGGACAAGGCCGATGCACAGAGGTACAGAGGCGGCAGGATGGAACGGTATCCTGGGGGGAAGGAGCAGCATGCATGGGTGCGGCAGGCTCAGGAGGGCAGGGCTGAGAGATGGAGCAGCCTGGATCCTGCACCCTCCACCCCTGCCCCAAGGTGGGAAGGAGCAGAGCCTGCCCTGAGCCTCAGGAACCCCGGAGGAGGAGGACTTTCCTTTTGGTGCTAGGGGAGCCTCAGGAGATGAGGAACCTAGAGGTACCAGGCAAGATCATGCAGACCCAACGGCACCCTCTTCTGCAGTTAATCCTGTGTTTGACCCAGCGGAGGATGGTAGAGCCACAAGCAAGAGTGGGGCGGGGCCTTCTGCGTCTGGCACAGGTCAGTCCCCACACTGGGAGGTTTCAGGGTGCTCCGCCCTATGGGGATCCCTCTGGAGGGGTCTAGCCACAGTTAAGAGATTGCTAGCCACGAAACTGGGCACTGGTGGTTCAAGGCTATAATCCTAGCTACTCAGGAGGCTGAGATCTGAGGATCACAGTTCAAAGCCAGGCCAGGCAGGAAAGTGTGTGACTCTTATCTACAATTAACCACCAGAAAACCTGAAGTGGCGCTGTGGCTCAAGTGGTAGAGTGCTAGCCTTGGGCAGCTTAGGGACAGCACCCAGGCCCAGAGTTCAAGCCCCATGACCACCACCACCACCAACAAAAGATTGCCAGCCACGGACTGAGGAGGTAACTCAGTGGTAGTATTTGTCTAGCATGTATGAGGCCCTGGGTTCTATTCCTAGCATCCTTCCACCCCAACTGCCCTTCCAAAAACAAGATTGCTGGCACTGTCTCTCACCCATATCCTGCAGGTGGTGGCAGGAACAGGAGAATCTATGGCAGGTTCAAGGGCATCCCGTGATATTTGTAAGGGGTACAGGGGTGTTCAAGAGAAGGAAGGGCATGCCCCCTATCAAATGCTCCCAGCACTCCCCCAAGGAGGGGGAGAGTAGGAGAGGCATCCAGGACCAGGTTCCTGCCAATCTAAGTTGGCACCACAAGGGGCATCAGGTCTACCCAGGTTTCCCCATTGCTGCCCCTGTGCCCCGATGATGTAAGGCCACAGGCGCTGCTTTCACGCAAGGCCTGGCGTGGAAAGTGCTGCTCTGACCAGCTGCCTCCCTCCTGCAGTGGACGCCGAGGCCCTTGTGCAGGAGGAGCAGGCCCGCACCATCTTCCAGTCGGGGCAGGGCACGAAGACCGTGGACATCTACTGGCTCTTTGATGATGGAGGTCAGGCCCCTGAGCCCATCCTGGCTCTGGCTGCCTTTCCCGGGCTGCTCTGGTGGCTAAGACCCAGAATCCAGCAGAGGGGATAACCAAGACCCTCGGCCAGGTTAAGGGGAACTGGGCTGGGCCCCACTCTCTGGCATCCAGCTTTTCAGCTGTAGAAATGAAGTCCCCTGAGTAGAGGAGCTGAGGGCAACAGGAACTAGAACCTTCTGACTGGTTGACCTTGGAAGTTGGGGCCTGTAAATGGGGAAGCTGATTGGATGATGGGAAAGTGTAGGAATGCTCCCAGAAACACCTTCACCAGCTCATCTTAAAGCAAGACTTTTGAGCTTTACCTTTCCAGCTTTTGATAGAGCCAGAGAAAAAATGTCTCAGCACAATGGAGTGCAATCAACCCCAGATCCATGGGTTTTACATCCATGGATTCAGCTAGTCTCAGAGTGGAAGGATTCAGAGAAAATCAAATTGTCTAAGCCCTTTGCACTGCCCTACATTGCAGTATGAAGAAGCTTTAGCACCAGGCACTGAGTGGCTCACGCCTGCAATCCTAGCTACTTAGAAGGCTGAGATCTGAGGATCATGGTTCAAAGCCAACTGGGGCAGCAAAGTCCATGAGGTTCTTATCTCCAATGAACCACCAAAGTCGTAGAGCACTAGCCTTGAGCAAAAAACTCAGGGCCAGTGCCCAGACCCTGAGTTCAAGCCCCATGGCTAACAGAGAGCGACAGAGAGACAGAGAGAGACAGAGACAGAGAGACAGAGTAACAGAGAGACAGAGAGAGGGAGAGCACTCACCATGTGGGGGTGCTGTTCAGTACTACACCCCAGTCACAGGGACTCTGGGACAGCTGTTAGGGGACAGGGGACAGCTGTGGCCTTGGCTGGGAGGCCCAGTCTCTGCCATGCCTACAGCTGACTCTATTCTAACTGTGAGAGCCAATGTCAGCTGAGCACTTGCTCCATACGTGGCTGACCCCAGGGGCTCCCAGGGCTAACCAGACACCATCTCCTTCTTTGTCAAGGGAAAGGAGGATCCAGGATGAGGCACTAGATATACAGTGGCTGGCCCTCAGCCTCAGTGGAGAGATGACAGGCAGGCCAGGGTCAAGGGTCAGGGAGCAGGATCCCATTCATTAGTCAGATATTCTGTTTTTAGCAAATCCCAGTGATCCACTTGTTTGCGTGAAGATCCCCATTATTCCATACCAGCTTGTTCAGAGCACTGGGCCAAATAAACCTGGATCACTGTGGCAATCAGGGTTTAGTTAGGGAGCTCTTACACAGGCAAGGGAACTGAGGCCCAGCAAAGAGCAGGGTTTTCCTGTGGCAGGATGGACAGGGGACCCACCTTATTGACCTCTCTCCTGAGTACTTTCCTCTTGTCTCTGGGGGCCCCTCCGTGCCAGGACTCACCCTCCTCATCCCCTACCTCCTCCGCCGCAAGAAGAGGTGGAGCAAGTGCAGGGTCCGGGTGTTCGTCGGGGGCCAGATCAACAGGATGGACCAGGAGAGAAAGGCGTAAGTAGACAGGCCGGCTGGGGTCACATCCGCCAGCCCCTCGGCCCCCAGACAGGCCTGGGATTGTCCCAGGTCACAGCTGTGGTGACCTGGGCTCTACAGAGCAGGCCTCTTTTCCTTTCTGGTGTGTTCTGAATCTTCTGGAGAGAAGTGATTTTTTTTTTAATGTGTGTGTCAATGGTTAGGCTCGAACTCTGTCTTACGGTCTCTCTTGGCTTTTTGGCTCATGGTTGGCACTCAACCAATTGAACCTTGTACTTCTGGCTTTCTGCTAGTGAGTCGGAGTTAAGAGTCTCATGGGCTTTTCTCCCTGGAGTTGGCTTTGAACTGTGATCCTCTCAGATCTTAGCCTTCTGACTAGCTAGGATGACAGGCATGAGCCACCAGCACCTGGCATATGTATGACTTTTAATTCTCCTTTAATTCTGTAGCCAACTGGATGAGAGGTCTTAGGTTCATGTTGTTCTGTGCTTCTGCTTCTGCCTAAACAAAAGCAGCAGGCCTGGGCTTGAAGGCTTGGCAGACAACACCCTCTGGCTGGAATTAAATGACTCTGGCTTATTTATGTGGGTTTTAATTGCTACCTCTTTCTAGCAAGAGGTGCTGTGGGTTCTATTTTCCTTTAGATTATAACATAAGATTTCCTTCTCTAAGTATATTTGTCCATTTCCATTATTATAACAATAGGAAGAAAAGAGGAAGCCAGGCACTGGTAATTCACACCTGCAATACTAGCTACTCAGGAAGCTCAGATCTGAGGATCATGGTTCAAAGCCAGTCTGTGAGATTTGTGTCTCCAATTAACTACCAAAAGAAGTAGAAGTGTGGCTCAAGTGGTAGAGCATTAGCCTTGAGAAAAAGAAGCACCACCCAGCCCTAGGCTGACATAAAAAAAAAAAGAAAAAGAAAACAGAAGAAGAAGAAAGATTTAGCTTACAGTTCTGGTGCAAGGTAAGGGCCCCCAGGTGACATAGGGCAGCATGTGACAGAGACAGAGAGCATGTGTCTGGCCTCTTTCTCCTTATAAAGCCACCAGAATTCCACTGTGGGGATTCTGATGACTTTTTCCAATCCCGCTCACTTCCCATAGGCCCCACACTAACCCCTCTGGCACCTCACACAGAGGATTAAATTGCAACCTGAGCTCAAACCATATTCAAATCGTAAGTCACAATGTGAGCTGATTTAAACAGACTCGAAAGTAAATAGTGAAACAGGTAGCATACTGGCGTGGTGTTGGCAGGAGCTGGGCAGGTGGAGCTGAGCAACTGTGGCTTTAGAACAAGGTCAAGTGAGGTCAAAAAGTGGTAGAAAAACGAGAGGGGGGTAACAATGTTCAACAAGAAATGTACTCACTGCCTTACTTATGTAACTGGAACCCCTCTGTACAAACCTTTACAATAAAATAAAAATAAAATAAAATTTAAAAGAAAGTCAGGTGAATGTGGGCGCCAGTGGCTCACACCTGTAATCCTAGCTGCTCAGGAGGCTGAGATCTAAGGATTTCGATTCGAAGCCAGCCAGGGCAGGAAAGTCTGTGAGACTCTTATCTCCAATGAATCACCAAAAAGGGCTCAAGTGGTAGAGTGCTAACATTTAGCAAGAAAACTCAGGGACAGTGTCCAAGCCCTGAGTTGAAGCCACACAACTGGCGCGCGCGCACACACACACACACACACACACACACACACAGAAAATTAGGTGAGGTGGTTTGTAGCCAGAGAGAAGAATCCTGCCCAGCCTCTAGAGCCCTCTGCAGCCATACTAGCCTGGCTACCCCAGAGCCAGGATAGGAAGGAACCTCTTCCCTCTCCAGGACTGCAACTCTTCTTCCAATCAACCCAGCAGTCCCATCTCTGTGCTCTCCCTGCTGAGGATTTTACCTCTAAAAGGCTTCTTTCCCCCCCAAAAGCCAAGGACAGCATTGCTTGAGGACAGCAGCACCTGGCCTCTGGGCTCTCCAAAAGTAAACAAGCTAAGAAGGCCTGAGTCTCAGTCTCCGCTTCCCAGGCAACAGCTGGGCCTCCTGAGACTGGCTGAGCTCAAGGCCATCGTACATTGAGCAACAGTGTGTCCTTCATGTGAAGAACTCCTTAGCCACCCAACTGGTTCTTACTGAGTCACATGATCTGCCTTCTCCATAACCCAGCCTTCCGGTTCTGCCATTACCTGCACAGCAAGACAAGGCTGCCTGTTAGGATCCATCCTGCCCATCCCAGGGGCCCACGTGGAGGCAGGCAGGCACAGGAGAAAGATTATTATAAGGTTTATTAGAGGGGCCATATCGCCCCCTGGAGAGGGAGCAATATGGCTTCTGCCCCATCCAGGTGGGTCACTCTGGGGTTAGTGGGGTCAGGTACTCTGCAGGTGCAGGTGTTCTGGGCAAAGAGAGGAAGTGGGAGCTATCCTGGTAGGAACTCTAGGGTTGGGAGGAGCTCAGGTCTGGGTAGAGCTGAGGACTAGGTGGGAATAATGCTAACATTCTCTCACTTTGTTTAATAATAATAATAATAATATCTAGGGGTACTGGCCGGGAGTATGGATGGAGGTCATTTCTTTGGAGCTACTTCCTGTTATAAATGGGCAAAGTAGTCAGGGGTCCCTGATTTGTTGCTTGGCTGATACTGTCTAAGAAGTATTTGCTTGGCAGTTTGTTTGGTAAAGGTCCTCATCTTTCCCATGTTTTTATCTAAATAACATATTAGTTATTCCCATGTTAGCTGTCTAAATTCCCATGTTAGTTATCTAAAATGCAAGGCGCAGAACGAGTCGAGTAGCTCTAGAGTTCAGGGGACAGGGTCCCAGGGAGCTTGAGATTTCACATCCCCACCTCTGACTCTAAAAACTCAGGCATGCTCACTACCTGAGGGGCAGGTTGACTCCACCTCCCAGAGCTTTTTTGAGATTTACCTTGATGCCAAGATGGCACAATCAGGTGGTCAATGGTAGATAGTAGAGAGAGCTCAAGATTTAAGCAACAACAAGCAGAATTTAATAGAATCTCCATGTTTAAACAAATAACAAGGGCTGGGAAGGTGGCTCAGTGGTAGAGTGCTTGCCTTGCATGTATCAGGCCCTGGGTTCGATTCCTCAGCACCACATAAACAGAAAAAGCTGGAAGTGGCACTGTGGCTCAAGTGGTAGAGCATTAGCCTTGAACTGAAGAGCTGAGGGATAGTGCCCAGGCCCAGAGTTCAGGCCCCAGGACCGACAAAAAAAAAGACAAGAATAAAAAACCTTTTAACTGAAGTTCCTCTTTAAAACAATGTGATAATCCTTTGAGACTTTTGCTAATGCCCAAACCTCATGACCTTCCTTGGAGTTTAAACTTAAACTCAGCCATTTTTTTTTACATTATGATGACAGTTTTTGTCTTAACAAGTTTATATACATACATACACTTTTTTTTTTGCCACTCCTGGGCATTGAATTCAGGGCCTGAGCACTGTCCCTGAGCTTCTTTTGCTCAAGGTTAGTTCTTTACCACTTAAGCCACATTCAGAGATGGGGATAATGCTAACACTGCCCACAGATATGCTTTCAAATCCTCCGTTCCCAGGTTCAGCAGCCAGCATAGCTTGACTACAGGGCCCAAGCTGTTCCTAAAGACTGTGTTCCGCCCCTGTTCCCATACTTATAACTTTACTTACCTTGGAGGCCAGGGGTCCCTAACCCTAATGGGCACTTCAGCACCATGTGGGCCTTACCCAATCACGTCCTGCCCAGTGGGCCTGACCCAATCACGTTCTGACTCAGTGGTAAACTCAGGCAGGTGTGCTGCTGTGAAGACTCCTTTGTGTATAATTCCCCCGCCCTACCTCCTTTACCCAGCATGCACCATCCAGCTGGATCATTACCTCCTCGGGGGAACATTTCTTTGTTGTTGTTGGCCATGGAGCTTAAACTCAGCACCTGGGCACTGTTCCTGAGCTTTTTTGCTCGAGGCAAGCACTCTACCAGTTTGAGCCACAGTGCGACTTCCAGTTTTCTGGTGGTTAATTAGAGTAAGAGCTTCATGGACTTTCTTGCCTGGGCTGGCTTCAAATTGTGGCCCTCAGATCTCAGCCTCCTGAGTAGCTAGGATCACAGGCATGAGCCATCGGCTCCCTGTTGGTATAACCTCCTCTGTGAGGTCTTCCCTAACAGCTACTACCATGCTTGTGCCCGTACATTGTTTGGCCCTGCCTGCTGCTTCTGATTCTCAGTTTCTATTACCTTTATTTCCTCCGTCACTTTTATTGTATAGTATTTTATTTTTATTTTGGTGATACTAGGGTTTGAACTAAGGGCCTTGCCCTTGTTAGGCTGGTGCTTTTACTTTTAGATTGTTTTTTGGATAGAGTCTCACTAACATTTTGCCTGGGCTTCCAAGAGCCCTGATCCTCTTACAGAGCTGAGATTACAGGCATGAGCTACCATACCTGCCCCTTTGGTCTCTCTTTCCCTTTTCAACTTTCCCCATCCTTAGGCCTTTGTTAGTCTAAGTGTGGTTCACAACCCAGTAACATCCTGGGATGTCATTTAGAAATGGAGCATGCTAATTGGGGATTCGGATTCTGGGAAGCCTAATCTAAGAGGACTGAAATCTAGGCATGAGTTAGACAAACGTTGAGACCCTATCTCACAGAAAAAGGGCTAGAGGCATGGCTCAGTGGTAGAGCACTTGCTAGGCAAGATCTTCCCAAGGCCAAACCCTAATACTGCCAGGAAAAAAGAAGAAGAAGAAAAAGGATGAGAAGGAGGAGGAAGAGGAAGAAGAGCAGAATCCCAGACCTGGCCCAGATCAGCTGATCGGAAGCTATATTAACATTGACACATTAAAATCTGAGCTGCAGTGGAACAGGAATGGCATGCGATACGAGATACTTGGGGAAATTTTGGTCAACTGTGTTCTTCGTATCACTCGTTACTGAATGGCTTACTATACTGGGATTTCTTACTGTCTGCCCTGGTCCTGTGTGAGAAAGTCACTTCCACCAGGGAGGGGTGGGATCGATTCTGCTCAGAGCTACAAACTCAGCTTAGTACAAGTTAACTGAATGAATGAGGCAATGAATGAATTAACACGCTTTTAAGACTCCCCATCTGTTCTGCAGGATCATTTCTCTGTTGAGCAAGTTCCGGCTGGGGTTCCACGAAGTACATGTCCTTCCTGATATCAACCAGAAGCCTCGGGCTGAGCAGTGAGTTCTCTGTGATTGGTCCCAGGCAGCAGGGACATTCCCTCTGCCCGCTGCCCCCTTGCTCTAGCCCCAATACTCCTTTGCTACTCCTTACCTGGGCCAGACATGCTGTACCTCAAGGTCTGTGCCCAGGAACTCAGGCTGGGGCCCAGTCACAGTGCCCTCCTTCTGAGTGGAGGTAGAGTCCAGGTGAGTCAGGGCAGCTCAGAGCACCAGAGCAGGATTCTACACAGAAGCCACTGGGATATAAATGCCCTCATGGGGCCCCTCACCCTCCTCCATGGGGCATCTTACCTTCCTCGCTTTGCCTCTCTTTTCCACAGCATCAAACGATTTGAAGACATGCTGGCACCCTTCCGCCTGAATGACGGCTTTAAGGACGAGGCCACGGTTGCCGAGATGAGGCGGGATTGTCCCTGGAAGATCTCGGATGAGGAGATGAACAAGAACAGAGTCAAGGTGCAGAGGAGGGAGGCCATGTCCCTGTATCTTGAGCTTCCTGAGCCCCTCCTCTTGATCCTCACCCCGCTTCCCCCTGGGGGTCCTGTGGAGCTCACTGTCATCGCTCCAAGAGATTTTAGCTCCCTGCCCCTTCAGTGTCTGGAGTCCTCCCTTTCCTCCCCATTTCTGGGAGTCTGGTGGAAGGGCTTCATGATACAGGGCTTGTTCCTCAAAGCTCCCTCCGTCACCCTAGATGGAGCCCAATGCCAGGGCCTATTCTTCCCTAGACAACATAGCCAGGAATCTGGTAAAGGCTGGGAGAGGTGTGGGCATGGCGGGGGGACTTAACATGTCACCTTTTTAAAGTGGAGTAAGGAGCCAAGAGGCTGATTCTGCTCCTGTGAGCCCTACACCCGTGGTTCTCCACTGAGGGTGATTCTCCCATCTCCCAAGATAGTTGTCTTCCTGTTGAAACATTTCTGACCACCACAGCTGTGTGTCATGTGTGGGTGTCACTGAACATCCCCTGTCAGTAGGGAGAGGATTCCTGTCCATCTGCTTACTCCCCCCCCCCCAGTCTTCCAGTCTCTAAAACAGGTGTCCGCCTACTATCAGACCCTGAGCATCAGACATTTCTGAACGATTTGAGACAGCCTCCAGGCTCAGGACTCCAGTCCAGCCCTACGCAGGCTCTGGAGAATTCCCCGAGCCATTGGGCAGAGCCTGGGGCCCCAGGTATTCACGTTGCTGGCTGGCCTTTTGGAAAATGCAACATGTGTGTCATATCCAGAGGAAGTTCACTCCAGAGCCTAGCATAGTGTCACAGATGGGGCAGAGTCCCTTCTGTCATTCACACAGAACATTCTCTGGGTACCAGGGGCCCAGGCTGTCTCTGCTAGAAAAGCTGTTCCTCTTCCCACCATCCTGCTGGTTGTGACAATAATCAGGCAAGGAATGAGATGGAGGATGCTCCTGAAGGAGGTGGACTTGGAGCTCAGTTACCAGGAGGGTCCCTCTTTTCCTGGGGGAAGAAGTGTCTGCAAGCAGGCAGAAGAACTAGACCATCCCCTGGGTAGGATTGACAGGGCTCAGTCATGGATGCACCCAGTGACAGACCCATCTCTCCCGGCCCAGTCCCTTCGGCAGGTGAGGCTGAACGAGATTCTGCTGGATTATTCCAGAGATGCAGCGCTGGTGGTCATGTAAGTAGTCGGGCAGGCAGGAGGCGCGGCCTGTCAGGGTGAGCAGGACAGCAGCCCTGGAAAGGGCCAGGAAGGGCTGCAGCAGTAGGGCCGGCAGCTCCTGTCAAACCCAGCCTAGGCAGACTCTCAGCGCCTGGCCAGCCATGCCCCTGCTTCACACCTCTGCCCAAGTGCAAGCTGGCACAGGCCTAGGGCCTCATGGGTGCTAGGCATTGCTGGCCATCTCTCTCTGCTGTTCTTTCCTTGTTTACTGCCCTTTTTCCCCCCTGCCAGATATGCTTGGCAGAGGGAGCGCCTGGCACAGACCAGAAGCAAAGCAAGGCCTGTTGGTCAGGAATTGTCTAACTCTCTTTGGCCACAGGCCATCCCCAGCTCGAATAAGAGTGACAGCCACACAGCTTCACCTGAACCCACATCCAGATCCTGGCTGCCCCTCTGTGGGTGTTGGCCAAGGCAGGGCACAGAGCGGGTCTCGGTGTGATTCTGCTCTCTGAGGCCAGCAGAAAGAACACAGCCAGCCCAGGCCCTCCGAGGCCCCAGCTCGGGGCAAGGGTCTTCCCCAAGACATGTAATGGCCTTTCTCACTTCCTGAGGCCACTGCCTGGGAATTCTGAGGACAGCTACGAGCCTGCCGCTTGGATTCAAGATGTGCAGTGGAACTTCCAGGGCCTCTGCCAGCTAGAAGTGTGCTGTTTGCCAACGATCAAGGAGGCAGCTGTGGTTCCCCTTTTCCAGGCCATCTCCCCCACATTCCAGGTCACCTTAGGCATTGGAAAAAGTGTCAAGATGGTGACAGCCAAGGCCTCCATGTGACTGAACAGGCTGTACCCCAGGAAGGGTCCTGGGTTTGTTGTTTTGTTTTTGTTTTTAGCTAGGGGAAGGGGCTGGGTATATCTCAAGTCTCTGGCCAAGCCTAGTAGAGAATATTCAAGAATGTTCCTAGGGTAAGGTGACAGAGGGTGAGGACAGGGTAGGTGTTTGGGGCAGTGGAAACAGCTTCACCTTGGCTGGCTGCTAGACTTCTCCAGGGTGGGGGCCTGGGGTGCGAGCCCACCATGGGCACAGATGTACAGAGCTACCCCTCCCTGGCCCCCCCCCCCCGCCCCCCCCCCCCGCCTCGGCCCCTAGTTTAGATCGCTGAACCAAAGTGCCCCCCCCGCCCTGCTGCCTGTACTCAGAGAAGCATGTGTGCATTTTGACTTGTCCTGAGTTCACTGTGTGGTGAAGTAACCCCCCACACCAGTACCCATCTCTCTGGCCTCAATTTCCCCAATGATCAAAACGGCGTCACTCAAATATTTCTAAGATTCTCTTTCCTGCTGACTTGTGGAGAGTCAGTATCTACCCACCCTTAAACGTGAGTCCATCTCTCAGGCCCGGGGATGAGGAATTTGATCTGCAGAGGTGACCCCACTCTGACTTGCTGGTTTCTTTCACCCCCTCCCACTGTGTACCCCAAGACCTCAGGAAAAGCCAACCTTCACCCATCACCCTTGGGATTAGCAGAGGCCACCACAACATACCTCACCCCACCCTGGCACCCTGGCTAAAGAGAGCCAAACTCTTGGACCAGCTGAGTGGTTACGTGTGGGCACAATTCTGAGCTCCAAGTTGGAGACATACCAGCGTGTCCTCGAGGGCAGCCCCAGGTCAGCTCCACCAGTATGCCAGGGGCAAATTCTGAAATCCCTTCTGATCAAGGGCTGGGGCAGGGCCCAGGATCCAGAAATTGCAAGGACAGAATGACTCCACCAGTGCAGTGACAAGACTTGCATTCTCCAGCTATTTCTAGAGCCTCTTTTTAGAGGCAGCACTTGGTTGTTTGCCAGTCACCAATCAGCAGTTTATCTGGTCACGCCCCCTCCACCCTACCCCACCTCCCACACTGCTCTTTGAGCTAAGCTACCAGCCTGGGAAGGCAGCCCCACAGCCTTTGATTAGACTAAAGGGGAAGTCCGGCCTGGATCAGGCACCTCTTTTTACTGTAGCCAGTTCTCCTCAAAGACAAACAGTAACCCCCAAACAGTGACCGGCAATATTTCCATTCAATGGAGACTCCCCCTTCTCCTTTCTTCTTCCTCCCGCAACTGGGGATAGAATTCAGGGCCTTATATCCCTAGGCAAGCTCTCTACCACTTGAGCCAATACTCCCAGTCATTTTGCTTCATCCTTTATCAGGAGGCTGAGACCTGGTTTTCTGGCAGTTAATTGGAGATAAGAGCCTCATGGATTTTCCTGCTCCCCTAAAAGGGAGGAAGGAGGCTGGATTTTTGAGCCCTTGGCTTGAATTCTATTGCAGGTCTGTTGAAGGTTCCAGACCTAGGTTAGACTCAAGGCTGCCTTTCTTTGTGGCCAAGAGATGTGGTTTTAAACACCAAGTCCCCTTGCTCTAGAATGGCATTATTTCTAGAGGTGATTTCTTTCTTTCTTTTTTTTTTTTTGGTCCAGTCGTTGGGCCTGAACTTTGGGCCTGGGTGCTGTCCCTCAGCTCTTCAGCTCAAGGCTAGCACTCTACCACTTGAGCCACAGCACCACTTCCGGCTTTTTTTCTTTTTGCTTCTGTGGTGCTGAGGAATCGAACCCAGGGCCTCAGGCATGCAAGGCAAGCGCTCTACCCCTGAGCCACCTTCCCATTTCTTAGGCGAGTACATTCTGTGGGCCAGGATGCAGTCACTGATTGATTCTGGGACCAGTTAAAGGCTCCGGCCTTGGAACAGGTGGACAGGCTGCACTGGGGGAGGGAACTTCCTGCTGAAGCCACGCCCCTGTTTTCCCTTGGCCTTTGAAGTCTATGAATTCAGGTCCTGAAAATAATGAATTTCCCAGCAGGGCATCTTCAGCTCCAGGCACCCTGTAAAACCTGGAGAGCAGGCGTTCATGTTCTTTGCAGCCCTTTGCCCTGCACCAAACACTGTCCAACAATGATGACAATTACTTAACAGGATTCTCTTGTTCCCATCACAAGACAACGCTTTCCCAAGTGATGCCTTGATTGTTGTATTTCCCCTGGGACTATGGTTTGAACTCAGAGCCTCTTGATTGGCAGGCAGGGGATCTATCACTTGAGCCAGGCTCCAGCGCCTTTTTGCCTTTCAGTTATTTTTCAGATAAGGCTGTGTTTTCTGTCAAGCTAACTGCACCTTGATCTGCCCAACTATGCTTCCTGTGTGTCTAGGAAGACAGACATGCACCACCATGCTTCGCTTATTGATTGAGACGGGGGATGGGGGGGGTGGGAGGTGGTCTCATTAACTTTTTGCCCAGGTTGAACTCAAATCGTGATTCTCCAAATGGCTGGGATTACAGGCAAGAGCCACCACACCCGGCCTTTTGAGAATGGCCTTTTAAGTCAGTGGCAGCTGTTTGGGGATCTCAGCTGCTCTTAGCAGGGATGGTGGGGGTAGTGAGCAGAAGCAGCTGGCAGGAAGCTCTCAGGTTCAGTGGCAGTCCTCGCTGTGCCCATGCCAGTCCGGCTACCTAGTGAAGGTGGAAAATAACCCCGGTGACAATGGCTGCAGTGTAAGGAAGTGCCTGTGTGTGCCAAGCATGGTGCTGTGCCCGGATATGCTTTGTTTTCTTCAAAGCCTACAGACAGCCTACAAAGCTTGAGATCACCATTGTGATCTGTTAGGAAAGAGGACGCTGAGGCTCAGGGCCAATCAGGCACTTTGCCAGGGCCACGTGGCTGAGGACATAGCAAAGCCATGACTTGGCAGCTTCATGATGCTCGAGCCTGAGCTCTGGACACCCCCCCCCCCCCCTGAGTGGCAGGGAGGCCTCCAGGTCGCCACCTTCTCCAGTTGGGAGTCAGGATGGGCCCCGCCTGTCCCCAGGGCTGAGTCCCATCCAGGGCACCTTGGCTTCTCCTGGCACTAGCTGGGGCTGGGAGATCCTGCTTTCCCCAGCAGCTGAGAGCCATGCAGTTCCGTCTTTGGAATTCTAAGCTGGTAGAAAAGCCACATCCTGAAATAGGAAAACATGACCCGCCAGTGTTCCCAGGCCATCTTGTTGTTTGCTCAGTATGGTGCAATTTGGACACAGTCCACCAGAGGCAATGGTGGTGTCCCCTTCTGGCAGCTTCCACCAGGCAGGGGGCGGGACTAGGGCACTCATTGGAGTCACATGGCATATCAGGCAGGTTTGTGGCTTCAGAAGCCAACCTGGGGTGATGAGGGTGATCCAATGGGGTAGGACCACCCACCTAGCCAAATGCCTGGGACCTGGTTCCAAGCACAAGGGAAAGCTGGCCTGCTCAAGGGCAAACACATATTCCAGATGGACATCAAATATATACACAGAAAGATGCTTTTAAGATTGCCAAGGACTACGATGATGTTAAAATAGGGGGATAAGATGAAGAGGCAGGGGAAGCCATCTCTGCAGAGGGCAATTGGAAGAGCTTCACTTAAACCCAAACTTGAATAATTCAAAGGAGCCATTGGGTGAAGAGCTGGAGGAGGCTCAGCTGCTTAGGTAGTGGGAACATCTAGTGCAAAGGCCCTGGGGCAGGATCAAGCTTGGCATTTATTTTAGGAAGAGGAAGAAAAAGCCTCAGTGGCTCTAAGGGTATGGGACGGGATCTTTAGGAGGTGAGGTTAGGAGGACTGGTGGAGACAAGGCCACAGCTTTGTCTAGAAAGAAGACTGCATGCTTACAAGATACATTTTGAGTGCCAGGCTCCCAAGGGTTTCTGGGAAGTCTTTGGGTGAGTGAGAAGAAAGGATTCTGAAGTTGCTAATAAAAGGATGAGCTGTTCAGAAAGGAACAGTGGGCTGGGCTGTGTGGGGAAGGCCCCGGGTAATTCCTCTTCCGTGGCCTCTTTTTGCCTTGCAGCACTTTGCCCATAGGAAGGAAGGGGAAATGCCCCAGCTCACTGTACATGGCGTGGCTGGAGACGCTGTCCCAGGACCTCAGCCCTCCTGTCATCCTGATCCGAGGAAACCAGGAGAATGTGCTCACCTTCTATTGCCAGTAACTCAGGCTTGGCTAGTCCCCACCAGGACTGCAGGGGTGAGGGGCAAGCAGAGCCATTGCTGGCTCCAGTCCAGGAGCTTCGGGTCCTGTGACAGGCTCCTCCACAGAGGAAGATGGCTGGACCCCACTTCCACCGGACATGGCCGCTGGGCTTCATGACTAGGGATTGGAGAAATTACAGGTTGAGTTATATAGAAAATTCTCTGGAAGATTCTATGTCCTCTTTTTTTTTTTTAAAGTTTGCTTTTGATCTCAATGACTACTAATTAAGATTTCAGCCTGTGATTGGTGTGCTAATTGAGTCCGAGTGTTGGTATGTGTCTTGGCAGTTTTTACTGTGCTGTCTCCAATCCCTGCCACCTTCCTCCAGCAGCCACTGGGTGAGACTGAGCCTCACCCACAGAGGGTACCCACAGAGCTAGGATGGAAGTGTGGAATAAATCCTGGGGAGCCTGGAGCCAGGTGGTAGGTAAAATGAAAGGACACCTGTCACTCTAGACATAACCAAGCCGAAGAAGTGAATGGGTCACCTCTGGGCCTTGCTGGCCTACTCCAAGGTCATTTAAACAGTCTCTTCTTCAGTTTAGTTCCTTTGTGATACTGGGGCTTGAACTCAGGGCCTCTCATTCCTGTTTAGCTTTTACATTTATGGCTGGCATTCTACCTCTTAAATCATACCTCCACTTCAGCTTTTTGCTGGTTAATTAGAGATAAGAATCTCACATTTTGGGGTTGGGAAGGTGGCTCAGTGGTAGAGTGCTTGCCTCTCATGCGTGAGGCCCTGGGTTTGCTCAGCATCATATAGGCAGAAAAAAACAGAAGTGGCGCTGTGGCTCATGTGGTAGAGTGCTAGCCTTGAGCTGAAGAGCTGAGGGACAGTGCCCAGGCCCAGAGTTCAGGACCCACAACAGACAAAAAAAAAAACCAAAAACCCCCTTTTTTTTTTTTTTTTGCCAGTCCTAGGGCTTGAACTCAGGGCCTGAGCACTGTCCCTAAGCTTCTTTGGCTCAAGGCTAGCACTCTACTACTGGAACCACACTGCCACTTCTGGCCTTTTCTGTTTATGTGGTACCGAGGAATCGAACCCAGGGCCTCATGCATGCAAGGCAAGCACTCTACCACTGAGCCACCTTCCCAGCCCCCACAATTTTCTTTTCTTCTGCTCTGGCTGTCTTTTGAACTTCAATCCTCAGATCTCAGCTCCTTGAGTAACTTGAATTATAGGTGTGAGTCACCAGTGCTTGGTAAACAAACAAACAAAAAAACTTCTAGAATTGTTTTGGCTTTTTCTTTAAATTTTTTTCCTGTGGGTACCAGGCCTTGAATTCAGGGTGTTGTACTCTCGCGTGGCTTTGTTTTGGCTCACAGCTGGCACTGTACCACTTGTGCCACACCTCCTGTCAAGAAATTTCTTTGGACTGCAAATTACAAAGGCTCTTGGGCTCCCAGGATCCCCTTCTCCCCTCAATTGTATACCATGTCAGGGCTCACTGAGCAAGATGTTCCCTGAGCCTTCCAGAAAAGGCTCAGCCTCTACCAGGGAATGCTGGCCTGTCTAGAGCCACACAGAAGATAGTTTTCTGGTAAATGGATTCCTCAGAGTCCCTCATCCAAGACAGAATGTTTTGGCTTTTGAGATTTAAAAGAACAAAAACAAACCAAAGACAAAAACTCTTTTTTTCCCCCACTATGTTGGAAATGATAAATTGATCATTCTGGTTTTTTGTTGTCTTTTTAAAATACTTTTTGTTTTGTTTTGCTTTTTTGAGACAAGGTCTTGATATCTGATCCAGGCAGGTCTCATATTTTCCATCCTCCTGCCTCAGCCATCTGAGTGCTGGGATTAAAGGCATGTACTACTGTGCTCATCCCCACTCCCACCCACAAAGGAACACTTTGAGTAAATTGAGAGACCCAGAACAATAAAATAATTAAAAACATGTTCTTCAGTCCACAGAACTTATTTGTTTGGGAACACACTGTTTTCCACTTGGCTGAGTATTTTGGGGGGAAGAAGTTACTGTTTTTTCAACTCTAATTGAACTTTACTCCTAGTCCTGCAGGACATACTGGCAGATTTCTACATGGATATTTACAGTAGCTGTTTATTTTCCCTTTGCTTCTCTTCCATGCCTTTGTAGTCGTGGGCTGTTTCCCTCAACCTTTGTGAACCATCCAGCATTCCGAACCAAACCGTAGAGAGACCAGATGGAAAGGGCCATGCTGTGACCCCCTAGAGATTTAGATGGGAACTCTGTCTGTCTCTAGAATTGTTGCTTTAATCACTGGGCTTCAATCTGTGCCATGAGAAAATTGAACCAGAACAGGTCACCAAGACAGCTGACAGGTTAATCCGCGGTGATTATTTGGCTCACACACAGTTGATCAAAACTGTGGCTGCACTTGGGAATGGAAGGAGAAGGCCGGAGGAACACAGCATTGGCTCACCACCCAGCCCACCTCTTCCTGCTGCCCTGCTGAGGGGGCTTTGGGTGCGAGTCCCAAGCTACTCCAGGCATTGCTTGGGGGTAGGGGAAGATCTGGGCCTATATCACATCTCTCCATTTTGGGGTGACAAGCTACTTTACATTCTTGGGTTTTAGGGGTAAAATGTCTCACCCCTTATGTCTTCTGTTTTGCTGGGCATAGACAACTTGATCGGAACCAGGTGCTGGTGGCTCATGCCTGTAATCCTAGCTACACAGAAGGCTGAGATCTGAGGATCATGGTTCAAAGTCAGCCCAGATAGGAAAATCCATGAGATGCTTATCTCTAGTGAATCACCAAAAAGCCAGAAGTGGAGCTGTGGCTCAAGTGGTTGAGCACTAGTCTTGAGTGAAAAAGCTAAGGGAAAGTGGCCCAGGCCCTTGAGTTCAAGCCCTAGGAGCAGTATGGGGCAGGAGGTGGAGGGCGTAGGGAGGAAGAAAAGAAACCTGATCTATAAAGAGGTCCCTTATGGTGCCCAGGCCAAACCCAGCCACCACCACCCCAGCCATCAAGGCTGAGGCTCAGTTGCCAGCCAGTTTTCCCCCTATTAGAAATGCACAATGATACTTCAGTGTCAGAAATGAATGGACATGGGGCTAGGGAGGTGGCTCAGTGGTAGAGTGCTTGCTTTGCATGCATGAGGCCCTGGGTTCAATTCCTCAGCACCGCAAAAGCAGAAAAAGCCAGAAGTGGAGTTGTGGCTCAAGTGGTAGAGCACTAGCCTTGAGCTGAAGAGCTGAGGGACAGTGCCCAGGCCCAGAGTTCAGGCCCCACGACCACCACCACCACTACCACCACCACCAACAACAAAAAGAATGGACATACAGGAGATACAGGAGATTTCATCGTGATAATTTACTTTTGCACAAAGGGTGCAATGCCGTTACTCTACCCAGGGCTGGGCAGGCACACCTGGCAGTGCAGTTTGCTAGGCCTTTGTCCCAGTCCAAACTGTCCCTCCTCCTTGACAAGGAGTTAGGCTCACAGTCTAAGTGCAATTGGTTACCAAGATGAGAGAGGGGAGACTATTCTTTAATTTGCACTTTTTTCCCCATCACAGCTAGCTAGGAGTGGGGCTGGGAACAGAGTGGCTGGAATATATATTTGGAGGGGGTGGATGAGGTCAGTGGAAAGCTCCCTCTCAAAAGGGGGTCTTATTCCTTTTAACTCCTTTTGATAAAGATATATATATGGCTAGCCGGTCACAAGCAGCATACCTGGTAATTACAGTTTATTCTTTTAAGTCCATCCACACAAGAGTCACATTTCTTACATGGCTGCTGGTCACAAATAGCACAGATAATAGTTATAATTGAAGTCAAAAAGCAGGTCAGGTGCTGGTGGCTCACGCCTGTAATCCTAGCTTCTCAAGAGGCTGAGAACTGAGGATTGCAGTTCAAAGCCAGCCCAGACAGGAAAGTCCACGAGATTCCAATTAACCACCAGAAATCTGGCAGGGGTGCTGTAGCTCAAAGTGGTAGAGCACTAGTCTTGAGCAAAAGAGCCCAGGGATAGTGCCCAGGCCCCAAGTTCAAGTCCCACGACCAACATAAAGAAAAGCAAATAATTCCAGGAACTATCAGTACCACAAAACATCAATACACAAGACAGAAGCACTGTAGTTTGACATAAAAGACTTGTTTTCCTCATATGCCTCAGCAGTTTACTCTCCAGAGTTATCATCTTCCTTCAGTTCCTGCCAAACTCTTTGTGGCTTTGAAGTTAGCTCGGGACAGCCCACTTTGTGGCCCTTCTGCCACTTCCCATGGCAGAAGGCTGTGGATCTCATTCGTACATGGAAAGTCCCAGTTTGGACTGAATACCCTTTTAGACATCTGCCTGGCTTTCCCAGTGTGGTCAGAGGCAGGTGGGTTTTATAGGAATGAAACTAGCTAGAAGAAACCCCAGAAGAAGCACCTGTCTGTGAGTCCCCCAGAGCACATGCAAAGTAGTTTTACTTGTGACTGTGTAACACTCAGGTCATCAGAAAAAAAAAATGGTTCAAGAATGTTCAAGAAAGGGGGCCTCCAGAACACGGGCCACTGGCTTTCTTTGCCAGTGACTGCCAGTTAGTCACAACTGAAAGCCTAAGTTCCAAATAAGTACTACTTCCGGAAACAAAGCCATAACAAATGCCTTCTAAAAATACTTAGAGGAGCCACCTGGCCTCGGGGCCAGAGGCACAGTGGCTGTGGGTGAAAGACAGTACTGAAAAAGGGCAAGTGCTTTATTGTTTTGTTTGTTTTTGTGCTGCTACTGGAGCTTGAACTCAGGGCCTGGACACCATCCCTTAGCTTTTTTACTCAAAGTTGGTGTTCTACCACTTGAGCCACATTTCAGTTTTGGCTTTTTTTTTTTTTCTGGTCAGTTGTGGGGCTTGGACTCAAAGCCTGGATCCTGTTCCTTAGCTCTTTTGCTCAAGGCTAGTGCTCTACCACTTTGAGCCACAGCTCCACTTCCAGTTTTCTGGTTGCTAATTAGAGATCATTCTTCGGACTTTCCTACCTAGGATGGCTTCAAACTGTGATCCTCAGATCTCAGCCTCCTGAGGAGCTAGGATTATAGGTGTGAACCACCAGCACTTGGCTTGGTCGGAGGGTTTTGAGTCTGACTCCTAAGAGCATTACAAAGACAACTCTGAGGTTGTAGAAGATGGAGCACACATACAAAGCCAAGGCCTTTAGGAAAGTGTCTGTGGAGCATATGGTAGCATAAGATGTTTGAAAGATGGGAGAGTTTAACCAAAAAACCACACAAGCTGGAGGTGGAGTAGACAAGGTGTCCAGGTAGCGGAAGCAGCTTGAGCTAGG